ATTTAATATGGTTGTGCAATAAAAAGCTGCAGGTAAAATAAGCAATTTATGAATGTGAGGCAGTGAACTTTTAAAAAGACACTAAAGTTTATGACTGATCCCTTTATCTCTCACCACCCTCCAGGCCTTCCGCATAGCCCTTAAGGCCTGGCTGTTCCGACAGGCCTGGGGCTAAAGACTTGTAGCCCCACCTCGAATGGTATGATTGTTGTGCTTTTTAATTATGTATTGTTCTGTGTTGTTGTCAAACTGTCTGTATCCCCCCCTTTCCCTTGTTTGAGTTGTGAGCCGCCCTGAGTCCCCTTAGGGAAAAGGGCGGCATACAAATGAAATAAAACTCTAAACTCTTCTCCTGCTCCAAAGTCTTGGAAGACAGGCCAGTTGACCAATCGTGGGAGAAAAGACGGACTCGAGTTAACTCAGGTTGGCCTTCCAGGCCAGACAGGAACCACCCATTGCTCAGGGCCGGGACACAGCCCTTGAGAGAGACGGGGGTAGTTCTCAGCCCCACAGCTGAAGCAGGGAGCCTCTTCTCCTGAGGTCCCACAGCCAGAAGGGTGAATTGTTTTCAGAGAGCCTTTTTGCAAAGGGGGGGAGGGGGGAGAGAGAGAGGAAACTGGCAGGCCTGGGACGGCCTCCCAAAGCAGCCCGAAGCGTCATCGCAAGAGACCAAAAGCAGATCCACCTTCCAGGCTGAAGCAGAGAGCCAGAGAAACGTGTCAGGCCCTCAGCCATCTTTTCTTTTGGATCTTGGGCCTGCCACACTTTCTATTCTTCTACTCTGCATTTTCTATGGTGGGGAAATGGGAGTTGGGGATTGTATGGAGTTAGATGCGATGTAGCCATAACAACATTCTTTCTAGGAAGCCACGGTCATCCTTTGTCTCTGCACCTGACCAGAACTGGGTGGGTGGAAGCTGCCAGCGTGGCAGTGGGAGATGGGACCATGGGATGGACTGGTGGGTGTGGGGGCAAAATCTTGGACTTTGAACTGGATGGGGAAAACCGGGAAGCTTTAGATTTGGGTTTTCCCAGATGTGCCAACATGGCTCCCTTCATAAATGGGAACTTTGAGGAATCCTTTGCCTTGGACTCTGATTTAATTTTGGATGCTGTTTGGAACCCTGACAAAATGGTCCAGGGGCCCCTACCTTGAGGTCTTCGTGCCTGGGCATGATGGTGATCTTGTTCCCGTCCACGCTCAGGATCTTCCCCTGCAGGTTGATCAACTCCCCTTCGCACACCTCCACGTTGTCTCCCGGCTGAAAGTTGTGTTCCCGTTCCTTCCCTGAAACCACAACAGGAGGCGTGAAGATGCGCCGTCCAGCGGCCTCCTTGGAGGGCCTTCTGACAGGCAGAGGGGTCGGCCCTTAACCAGGAGCCAGAAAAGGTGGCCTGGTCCCGGCTGAACACGCGGGGCACCCGATGATGCCCTCTTCCCAGGAGCCCCCGAAGGACCTGCCACATCAAGGCAGCCTCTCCTCGGGAGGAGGGACAAGAGGCAGGAGAAGGCGGCAGGGGACACACCGGTGCTCTCGGTCACCACTTCCAAGTCGATCCCTTCGGGCTGGTCCTCAAATTTCTCCAGCTCGGACAAAGTGGGCTTCACTCCATCGGTGATCTAGGTCAGAAGAAGAGGCAGCGATTGGGGAGGGGGAGGGGAAATTAACCCAGAGAGGACCCTCGGGACAGGATCCAGAACTGGGCCCCAGGCTGGCAATGCTTCTTTTGCTGATAGAAGAGAATCTCTGGGACTCGGGTTGCCTGGTGGGGTCCTTGTTACTCTCTCTCAGCTTGGTGGTTTCTTTGCAGACGGTTCATTACCCAACTAGATAACATCATCAGTGTTATGATGTGTGTGTGTGTGTGTGTGAGCAGGGGGGAGGAGGAGAAGACGGACTGTGAGGTCCTTGTTACTCTCTTCAGCTTGGTCGTTTCCTTTCAGATGTTTCATTACCCAACTAGATAACATCATCAGTGCTACAAGGGAGGTGTGTGTGTGTGTGTGTGTGTAGGGAGGAGGTGGCGCAGTGGTTAGGGTGCAGTACTGCAGGCCACTTCAGCTGACTGTTATCTGCAGTTCAGCGGTTCAAATCTCACCGGCTCAAAGTTGACTCAGCCTTCCGTCCTTCCAAGGTGGGTGAAATGAGGACCCGGATTGTTGTTGGGGGCGATATATGCTGACTCTGTAAACCGCTTAGAGAGGGCTGAAAGCCCTATGAAGCGGTATATAAGTCTAACTGCTATTGCTATTGCTATGATGACAGCGGGGTCCTTGTTACTCTCTGAGCTTGGTGATTTCCTTGCAGACATTTAATTACCCAACTAGGTAACATCATCAGTGCTAGGAGAGGTGGGTTTGTGGAAAGGAGGAGGAGGAGGAGCACTGTAGGTTCCTTGAAGCTCTCTGTTGATGCACTAGGGGCGAGCACACTTAGTAGTGGCACTGATGGTGTGATCTAGTTTAGTACTGCAACGTCTGCAAGAAAACCTCCAAGCTCAGGAGCACCGAGAACCCAGGAGTCCCCCTCCTCTTTTGCCTCCATTTCAGAAACTCCAGCTTTGATGACATTCCCCACCAGCATTAAAAACATCCGGCGTGAAAAGATTAAAAATAACAAGGGACTCGATGAAAAGGGACAATGCTCGGCCTTCTCCGGGTTCCATCTGCCAGCCAATGCCGGCTGGCGACTCCCCGGGGGAGAGCCTTCTCTGTTGCTGCTCCGGCCCTCTGGAACGAGCTCCCCGTGGAGATCCGGACCCTCACTACCCTCCCGGCCTTCCGCAAAGCCACAAAGATCTGGCTGTTCCGGCAGGCTGGGGGGCTGTTGAAGCACCCAGCCCCGTTTCAATTGTGACTGTTGTGGATTTTTAATATTGTTCGTATTGTCTTATTTATTCCCCCCCCACTGTTCATTGTGAGCCGCCCGGAGTCCTTCGGGAGTGGGCGGCATACAAAACCAATAAACCTAAACCCAATGGGCATATCGGTGCGTAAAATATTGGTCCATGGGCCTCGAACCACCACCACCCCCCCTGCCCATCCCAGACTCCGAAGAAGAATCCGGCCCCTCCAAGCAGCCCCCTTCCTCACCACAGCCAGCATGGCGAAGCTCTTGAAGAGGAAGCCTTTCCGGCTGTAGCGATTCCCTTCGAAGATGAGGAAATCCCCGTCGGAGGCCACGTCACCACCCAGAGATCTGGAAGGGGGGGGGAGAGAGCTTTGGTGAAAAAGGCCCCATCGGGGGAGTGGATGTCCACACAGCTGCCCACCCACCCCCCTCCAACAAGGCTGAGTGAAGCCAAAGCAGACCAAGTCAACCCAGAGCCGTTTCTCCCAAAGCAGAGTTGGAAGGGACCTTTTGAGGTCTTCCAGTCCAACCCCTTGCTCAGGCGAGGCACCCTACACCATTTCACAGATAATGGTTCTCCCGTATCTTTTTGAGAGCCTCCAGTGTTGGAGCATCCATAACCTGGTGGCAAGCCGTTCCACTGATTTAATTGTTCTTACTGTCAGGAAATTCCTCCTCAATTCTAGGTTGCTCGCCTCCATAATTAGTTTCCATCCATTGTGTCCTGCCGTCAGGTCCTTAGGAGAATAGCTTGACCCCCCCTTCTTATTTGGGACAGCCCTTCTAAATAGTGGAAAGTGCTATCGTGTCCCCACAGAGGCTAGATATACAGGTAGTCCTCAACTTACGGCAACTGAGCCCAACGTTTGTTGTTAACTGAGACGTTTGTTGAGTTTCCCCCTAGTTTTACCACCTTTCCTTCCACTTTTTGTTAAGTGAAGCAGTGCAGTGGCTAAGTTAGTCAAATGGCTGCTAAGTGAATCAGGCTTCCCCCTTGACTGGGCTTGCCATGAGGTCACTAAAGGGCGTGGCCCTGGGACCCTGCGACCATCGTTAAGTCCGAACCAGTTGCCAAGCCCCTGAATTTTGACCACCTATAACACTATGGCAGTGGTTCCCAAACTTGGCAACTTTAAGACTTGTGGACTTCAACTCCCAGAATTCTCCAGCCAGCTCTGCAGAGCTGGCTGGAGAATT